AGGCAAGTCGCCTAAGGTCGCCTGCAAGTCGAGCTGGTAATCACACCGTCCTGGAGCCACAGACGACAGTTGAGGTCAGTGGTTAAAACCCAAGCCCCCCCCCCAGTCTTGACTGTGAGGTCACAGTTGTTCCATCCACGAGGTTGCTCCCAGTGACAACTTGTACGATGCTGGGTGTTGTAAGCTGACGAATATGCAGGTCTCCAATTCTGCAGCGAAGCGGCCCTTCCGATCATTCTGCCTATGCTATTGTAGACAGTAAATGGCAGTTGTTCAACCAACCTATCTTGCGACTCTAATGTTAGTTAGTAGTTACTGCAGACCTAGTGGGGTTGTTCCATTGTAACCCATTTAAGGACATTTTCGCAGTCTTCTACATGCCTCTGTTTTTTTCCCTGTCTGCCAATTTTTCTAGTTAAATTTCTGTAGGATAGTAACTTACGGATATCCTGATGGTTTGGTCACTGCACTACAGTTGCCTTGGCTTCAGAACTGCAAAAATGTTAGGCATGCCAGTCGAGTCTGGGGCTGAACTATCCGACCTTTGTTCTTGTCATTTATCCTTCAGCTTTCTTCGAAGATAACACAGATAAGAATAGTAAAGTTTCATCAGTTCCTGCAGTAACGCAGCTTTCGGAACCTGGGGGGTTGTACTATTCAAGCCGTTTCCCACAGGACTGCGAAAGATCAAGGTCGGTTTCCATTTGGTCTTCGGGGAGGTTGTTAACTGCAAATCTATTCTTCCATCGGGTGGGCTCGAAAAAAATCTTATCGGTATTTGTTATCGGTATTTATTCAAAATTAACTTCCAGCCGTTGCGTTAGAGCCTTTAAAATTGAACTTTTACAAAAAGTCCACTCCTCTTAGGGCTTTTGGACATCAACTTCTGTGCCTTGAAGTTTATGAAGTAAGTTTTCACAAATGTCTATCATTTTCTGTGTGTACCCATTTTGTTCACACAGTCTGTCTACTTCAGTGTTTTTGATGAACATGTAACCATCAGTACATCTAACATTTATCTTTCCATCAATTATTAGCATAAATCGTGGAAACCCGAGGTCCTGCACCGTCTGCTAGACCTGCTCTGTGCAACCAACAGCGGTGCTGGAGGCGCCAATTTCTTCGAAAATCTGCCTTTTGTCGACCGAGGCAGCCTACCCGATGCCGAAGAACTCTATTTTGCCAAGGAGAACCGTATCTTTTCTCGG